AAAAAAAAATAATATGTATGTTATGTATTTGTATGTATATATATGCAGGCAATAAAAACATGGATTAGATAAAAGTAATATAAATAAATGAGGGAATGTTTAAATAGGAATATAAACAAGAAAAAAAGATAAAAAGGTATTGAAAACTTCAGGTATTAAAATTTAGCTTGTCTAAAAGTTTGAGCACTTTATTTGTTCTTCTCTGTGTAAAATATTTCGCAGTCTTTTTTTTTTGTTTTTTTTTTTAGGAAACAAAATCGATGGATCTGTTTGATTGGTGTGTGTGGTGTTGCGCCGCGGAGGTTATAGCGGGAGTAATAAGTCCGTACGTCCCATGTCCGAAGTCGAGTCAACTACTCCCCCTGTTTAACGTATTAGTGTGGCACTACATACCTAGTGACGGATCCCGAAGTGTGGATGCCACACTTCCCTCACCCCATGTGAAGACGCGCTGTAAGCCTCAATCGCTAGCAATGCTGGATTGCCAGTAGCGCAGCTTGAACAGCAGTCCTCGCACAAACAAAAAAATATCTTCTTAGTCTCCCCTAATGTGTGTTAGGCTCTGTCAAATCCCACTTAATCAAACACTGGAGTCTGCAGAAGGGCCTTTGACGGAGACTAAGCACAACCCCCCCAATTCCTCAATGCAACACAAACCGCTCACGACGGATCGACGCGATGTTGTTGCTGGGATACCCTAACACAGTCAAAAAAAGAAAACAAAAAAAAAAAGGAAAATGAAGAAGATGGAACATTAAAGAATAGGGATTAAGATAAACTAAAGTTAGTTAAAAGAAAAAGGGTACAAAAATGGTAAGCTGAAAGATTGCTGGTCTATTTCGTTGGGCGCCATTGTAGTGTAACAGTAGGTTTGTAGCACGGTCGAGTGGCACATCGGCATGCTGGTGGTTCCTGGCAGAGCTCATCGGTTAGGGTAGGTCTTTGCACACTCGCCTTGCCTACGCTACACTAACAAATAAAGTTCATGCCGAATAATTTATAAAGAAATACGCAAAAAAAAGATTTAAAAAAAAAAGTCGATGACAAAAAGATAGCAGAAAACGCAAGGTCCAGTCCTGTCAGGCGGAGTCTACCCACCCTCTTCGGCGTCCAGTCGACGCGAAACCATGGGCGTTGTGTTGACTCCTCTGACCTAACAACGCCCCCTTAACCTGACTAAGTCCGTTCGTCAGTCATCCCGTCCTCCTATGTCAATCAGTCCTATTGTCCGTCGTTACCCCATGTCCCCTGCTGCGCGCGAGCGCAACACACACACACCAAAATTAATAAATTAGAGCCTCATTTCCATCATAACACTCTCATCCGAACTTCACCGAAAACCTTACATACGTATATTCATAAGTTCTCTTATATATAAAAGTACTAGCCTAGCGTGTCGGTACTAGGAATAGTATAGCTAGTACGGCGGATCGCCCGATAGTAATCGCGGAAAGTTTTTAAATGTGCAAAAAAAAGGTGTTTAAAAGTGAAATACGAATTTTTTTTTTTATAAGCGCAAAGAAACCAAAGTGAGCTTAAAATTACGTGATTCGGTATAACGAAAGTAGAGTCAAATCATGAATTCAAAATACACCTCTTTTTGAAAACCATAAAAGGTAAACCACAAAAAGAAAATCAAGTAAATGCGGAAAACGTGAACTAAAGCTTATATTAGTTTCTTTGGCCCTTTTTGAATTAAAGAAAAACGAAACTTGATTTTAGTTATTCAAACCAATAAAATGGAAGTTTCAAAAAATATATATATATATATATATATATATATATATATATGCCAATACTTTTTATAAAACAAATTCAAATCAATTCAAATCAATAAAGAAAATTGATAATTGGCTGATCAAAGCGCGCAAAAATAAAAAAAATAGGAAACCGCTACTAAACAAATAAATTCCAGTAAAAAAAGACGTGATAAACTGTATGAAAAAAGAGAAATGTGATAATCTGAGTAAAAACCGAAATCCCATACAAAAAAACTCAAAAAAAAAAGGATTAAAGGAAAATGGACGGAAGAAACTAGGTAAGTAATGCAAAACTAACACCCCTATGCTGTAATTCGAAAGTTCGTAGTTACGAATTCGTAGCTCCGTTCCGAAAATTCGAAAATTGGTATGCTGTAATCCGATCGTAACTATCAACGGCGGTGCCAACTAAAATAGTGAAATTCGAAGTTCTTAATCAGCTGCTTTGGCAGAAACAAATCAAAATAAACAGAATCGCAAGTGAACAGTGAAATTAAAAAAAATTGTTTAATCGTATTTGAAAAAGCTTTTCCTTAATTAAGTAAAATAGAATGGATTCAGTGGCCGGTGCACTTTTGTCTCAGGAGGAAGAACATGCTGCAGTCAACTGTTGCATTAATATACAAAGGAGATTGCTACGAGACAGTTCTGATCCATTTAGCTTAAATGATAAAATGTAAGTTTTATAATTGATTTCACTGATACACATATAAAATAATCGTTTGAATGTTTAAAGATTTGTAAAAAATTTCCGCCTCAGCAAAGACGCATTTAAAAGCGTTTTAACAATTATGGAGGAAGAGCTTGGGCGAAGTGTAAAATCATCATCGGTGACTCCTGTAAGTAGATTGATGGCAGTTTTGAGGTTTTTCGCTGAAGGAAGCTACCAACACGGTGTTGGGAAAGATTTTGATGTGGGGTTGGCGCAATCAACGTTCTCAAAAACATTGACAAAAACTTTAAACATCTTGGAACGCCGACTGTGCCCAGTATGGATTAAATTGTCAATGACGGAGGTGGAGAATAAACGAGCCTAAATGTGGTTTTACAGGAGAACGCAATTCCCTGGCGTTATTATGTGTGTGGACGGCACGCACATTAAAATACTTCCTCCTGCAGACGAACCGTATTTGTACTACAATCGTAAGGGATACTACAGCCTAAATGCAATGGTGGTAAGTAAAACCACAAGAGCAAAGTGATTTTGTACGTGCAATTTATCGTAAATTTATTAAATAGATTTGCGATAACAATATGCAAATAAGGTGCGTTGATGCTCGGTTTCCAGGCAGTAGCCACGACTCACATGTGTGGAATGTAAACGCTGCGAAAACCTATTTTGAAGAGAGATATCGGCAAGGAGACAAAACAACTTGGATATTAGGTATGTTATAAGTGGAATGAGAGCAAAATGTGTTAAATATAACTAAAAATATTTTGTTTAACAGGCGATGCTGGATATCCATTACAGCCGTGGTTAATTACACCATTCCGTTGTCCTGTGGCAGGAAGTAGAGAAAGCGCCTTCAACAAAACGCACAGTAAAGCGCGCAACATAGTCGAGAGAGTCATCGGCGTTTTGAAAAATAGATTTCGATGCCTGCTAACTGCTCGCCAACTACATTATTCGCCCCAAAAAGTGGTACAAATAATTAATGTGGTATGCGCATTGCATAACATGTGCATCCACTACAACGTAGAAGATAATACACCTGATATTATGGATGATGAATATCAAGATGTAAATGAAGAGGAAGCGCCATCAGAATTTTCCAGAGAAGCGTCAGACATAAGAATGCGATCATTACCTAACTAATGAAAACAATCCCATAACTTTGTACTTCATATTTATTTGATATAAAAAATTTAAAATAAATTCAGTTCTTTACTTAAAACTAAATATACAAAAAAATCAGTTGTTTTCTTAAATCTAATAGTTTGTACATATATACAGTTATCACAAGCGTAAGTTCATCTCTTAAGTTCAGTTCTTTTCTTAAATCTAATAGGTTTATACATATATCACAAGCGTTAGTTCAGTTCTTTTCTTAAATCTAATAGTTTATACATATATACAGATATCACAAACGTTAGTTCACTTCTTTAGTTCAGTTATATTCTTAAATCTAATAGTCTTAAATCCAATAATCTTTAAATAAAAAAAATTAAAAAATCAGCAGTTCAGTGCAAAATTAAATGAAATTCAAAAATAAAGAAATCTTAAAAAAAAATGTATCCATTAGTTCATTTTTGCTGGCTTCTTTCTTGTATCCGCAGTAATTTTTCCTGCAAATCAAGCTCCCTTCTTTTAAGGGCCTCCATTTCAATATTGTGCCTCTTTAATTCACGCAATTTTTCCTTCTTCATGTCATGCATGTTTTCTTGTACTTGGTACATGCGTCGCACGTTATCTGCCAGATCGTTTGCAGACTCAGCCTGGCGTTCCAAAAAGGCCAAACTTTTTTGGTAGTAGCTTCGTTGCAAATTTATTTGCTCCTGTACCAAAGTGGCCGTGTCGTTTTTTTTACCGGAGGGGAACGCCTCTGCACATTGGCATTGTCTGGCTCAGTTGGCATAGGAATGACTGCCGCAGGTTCCACCACCGGTTGGGTCACCGTCTGTGTTGTTACCACACCAAAAGAGACAGCTCCATTGATCCCCGATGTGGAAGTGTGCAAGCCCGTCAACTCTATCACTTTTTCCTCCAACTCATTGAACTTGTGCATTCTGTTGGGTCCACCACCAGTTGCCCTCGTCTCTGCTTTATTGGCGGAAAGCTTTCTTTTAATGTAGCACTTATAATCGAGCCATACCTAGAAATAGTATTGATATAAGGAAAACAATGATAAATAAATTTTGTGCTCTTAAAATTTTATCCGCACCTTTTTCCAGCTGGATACATCTTTTGTCGGTGGGCCTAAGCTGTTTAGCTGCTGAGCGACGCTTTCCCAAAACTCCACTACATCCTCTTTAGGAAGGCCGCGAGCAATGTCCGGCCTTTCGGTCATGCATTCTACCATTTTTTCGTATTGCGACCGATTTGTTGTGATCTTCGACCTGATAATTTTGTAAATATTTAACAATAATCCATTTTTTTCCAATCACACTTGTAACTTACATATTTTTTCCTTTACACACTTTATTTTATTGATATTTTAAAAGAATTCGCTTCGCTCCGACACCAGTTGCTCTTCGTAGAAAATTTCCGACAGATACATACAAATTACAGCTACGTCGGATTCAGGCATACCAACATTACGAGTTTCGAAGATGGTCTCCGAATTTCGAAATTACGATACGGCAACGCGGATTACAGCATACCAATTTTAAGATTCGTAGCAAAATCGAATCTACGACGGATTACAGCATAGGGGTGTAACTGTTCTTTTGATAATATTGCTATTTAAAAAAACTATATACTTTAAAGCTTATATGTACTTTGAAAACTCTCTTAATACCTAAACTAAATGCTTCATGTAAAAACTCAATAAAACTTCTACTGAGCAAAATTCCGAATGAATATAATAAAATTACTCAATAAAACTCCAACTGAGCAACATTTCTACTGAATAAAAAAACTCAATAAAGCTAGAGTGATTTTTTCCTTCATCCACTTCTGGTAGGGCTCTGGCTACTTCAATCCTCTCCTGTGCACTTGTGCTCACTCTAGAGCAGATGGTCAGCGTCTTACGTTGATCCTGGCTTAGACACCAAAATCCGATTTTGCTGCTGGTGGCCTATGGAAGTGGGTATCTCTCATCAACGTATCTGCGACTTACCGTCCAGTAGTAGTGGTATATGAGCGATGCTTCTAGTCCCAAAATTTGGTGGGTGGGTGACAC